ATCAGGGCCGGATTTTCCTACTTGCCGCCCATGGGCCGCCTGTATTTTGCCGCCCCCTTCTCATTCGTTTTGAAACTTGAAACATCAGAAAAAACCATCAAGTGAACGTGCCAGCAGGGGAGGGGTGCATGAGACGCGTTTACTTGTGTTGAACACATTTTTTGGGAAAGCCCTGTCAACACTACTGGCAGAAGGTCACGGAACTTTGCGCGAAAGTCAAGTTTCGTAAACCTATCTCTAATGGGCAAGGCCTTCCATTCATAAGAAATGAACGAAAAAATTATGAAAGAACAAACACAAAATTTGGTTTAATGATTTTAACTTCCGCCGCCGCGCCGCGCCGCGCCGATCGCACCGTGTTCAGCCCAATGCGTGAAGTATTCACGCAGTCTTGTAGGCGCTATGCGTTTCACGCTGACCACACTGTGTTTGGCGCAATGCGTGAAGTATTCATGCATTCTTGTAGGCGCTATCCGTTTCACGCTGACCACAATAACCGCACTGTGTTTGATGCAATGCTTGAAGTATTCGTGCAGTCTTGTAGGCGCTAACATGTGTTACATGCCGATTGCCGCGCCAAGGGCTCCTCCTTTTCATCTCAAGTTATCGTCATCATTTCTCCCTAATAAGTCGCGCCGTTCCAGGCCAAATTGTGTGTTTGGTTTCACGCTTAACTCGACTAATTAAAGGTGCTGTCTCTTGTATCACTGAAAGACGACAAAATTAGAAATTACTATACTCTCAGGAAATGAGAGATTTTGTAGCAATTTATCGTTTGTAATTTTTTTTTCTAAATCCGATTTTTTTATACCTACATTCAAAAAAATTGCAAAATTTGCCGCCCCCTAGATTTGCCGCCATGGGTCGGGGCCCATTGAGACGGAAAAATATAGCGAGAGAAGACTGGATCCAGTGGCGTGGCGTGAAGGATCGATTATCGATATTACTCCATTTGAAGCTGTAGTGAAGAATCGATTATCAAGGTGTCCGTTGCGAACACCTTGATAATCGATCCTATACCATAGATTTAAATGGCAGATCAATCAATATATCGCAAAGCACGCCACGCCACTGGATCCCGTCGTTTCTCGCAATATTTTTCCGTCTCAATGGGTCCTGACCCATGGCGGCAAATCTAGGGGGCGGCAAATTTTGCAATGTTTTAAATGTAGGTATATAAAAAAATCGGATTTAGAAAAAAAAATTACAAACGAGAAAAGGCTACAAAATCTCTCATTTCCTGAGAGTATAGTAATTTCTAATTTTGTCGTCTTTCCGTGATGCAAGAGACAGCACCGGGGATCTCGCACTCATGGTGCCCGAATTGGGCTTGCAAGCACCCGTCCTGCAATAAGGCCCCCGCTTTCTTGCGGGTCGGGTGACCCCAGTCCCGAGAAATACCCCTCGTGCATCGGAATGCGCGGCAGTGGCGGTGGCGGTGCGGACGTAACGCCACAAAGATGAGATCCTCGGATCCTGGATTCCCGGATCCTACCCCGACGCGCTTTGAGCGAGGTGCGGCGATGCACTTCAAACCTGCCGCGCTGCATAGGTGACGCGCAGGTGGTCCCCCCGTCCCCCCTTCCTGCTCTTCCGGCTCCCGACTCCTGAGGAGAATTCCTACCGAGCCATCAATCCCCGACGCACGGTGGAACTAACTAATAGAACTGCCGGCCGATTATTGAAATTAATAGACAAAGCCGTAGACAAAGAAGAAAGAAAGAATTTGGAGGGATCTTATTGGTGGAAACGGGTGGTTGCAATGGACGAAGGAGGTAGAAAATAGACTAACTAGCGGCAACCTACGATAGATCCTATAGTTGGATTGCATTTTGCGAAAAGGAACCAAGAGCGTTACAGTGTTGCTAAGATTGCGCAACTTTATCCCTTGTGATTAAAGTACTGGAATCATGCAAAAATATGAAGTTTATATTGTAATTTTCGTCTTAAATTTACAGTTTTTAGGGTGGAGGAAAGAAACTGTTTATAAATTATCGGGGTTTTCTCCCGAAACAAAAGAAGTTTCACAATCTTAACAACATTGAAATGCTCTTGGTTCCTTTTTGCAAAATGTAACTCAGTTAGTCCATCATTTGCCCCCTAGTCTATAAAAGCTACCCGTGTCATCCAATAGGATAGCTTCGTACTATCCATGTCTTCTTTGTCTATAGCTTTGTCTATATAAATTTCGACAATCAGCCCGCTGATCGGACATGAAAATTTTCGGTAAAATGTCAAATTTTTCCGTTTGTTTTGTCACAAATTTAATTCCAAGGATGTTTCTGAAAGGAAATTTCACGAAAAAACCAATGGAGCCACTTTTAAACTTTTTTTGTTTCATATTTTCGAAAGTATAAACTTTCAAAGTTTTCGGATTCCGTCCGACTTCTCATATTTACTCGCTCCAGTGTGCGACGCTCACTCTCGCTCCAGATCTGATTTTAGCGGCGATCTTAAAAAGTCATGAATGAATCGATCTCTGAGATAAAAGATGCGGTACTTATTAATAAACCGAGATTGTGGCCCGTGTCCGTTTGGGATCGCATGTTTCTGGGAAAAACGATCATTGCGGCGTTTTCTATACATTTGAGCCGCTCAAGTATTACGTGCGGCGTTATAGCCGAATTTTTGACCGCCCGCCACTTCTCCTTTGCCTTTGCAAATCACTTTTACACCCCCCTTCCTCTCTAAATTATGTAAGATTGATTACGTCGGCGGGAAGTACAATTTTCAGAATTTCTGGAGTCTCAACTTTTTTAAGGTCATAGAAAAACTCATCACCAACCGAACAGAACGAGAGAATAACGTATGAATCTTTTGCTTGCAGCACAGCAAAACTCATGGCGCAAACAACCTATCTACTTAAAATTCTCTGTGAATATTTATGAATGATCGGGGAAAATTCACAGAAAATTAAAGAGGAAACTGTTGGTTGCTAATCCTTTAAAATACCAGCAGAGAATGGCAATCGAAGATTTGATGTATTTTGGTGTTATTCAGAAACTAGCAGAAATTAATAAAGTGTCCTCTTGTAAAATGTATCTTAGAATCCAATACGACTCCTGACTTTCTGCCCGTATTTGTGGCTGCAGCGTGGCAAAATTTCATGAAAAATAAAATCTTGAAGTACGTGAAATATTTCATTATATTTCAGAAATTTTTGAAAAATTTTGAAAAATACCGGTTCCTTCTCATGTTTCGCATAATGTAAAAATTGTGACTTTTTTCTATTCGTGTGTCTTTGAGTGCGAGTTGCATACTCCAGCTCCTGAATAATATGAAATATTTCACAGCCTCGTGAAATTTCATAAAATATTTCACTGAAATTCCAATCTTTCAATTCTTTATTACGTTTGATGCGACCCTGGTGGCTGGCAGTCAATTCATGGCTTGTCCACCAGCGCATTCCACAAAATATCCACTCAATTTTTAAAATACCTCTCAAAAGGCTCAAAATTTACGGCATTTTCGCCTTGACACGGTTATCCACGCACTCGCAGTCGGGATGCCCCGCTGGATCCGGCGGATCCCGACCTCCGTAGATCGCAAATCGTGGCCGAGATCAATCGCGCTGACCTAACGGACGCCCCCTCCTCCTCCCCCGTGATCCCACACCCCCGCAGGCCATCGTGTCCGCGCCAGTCGTTAGCCCCGTCACGGACAACCGCACTAGGCAAAAACAACGCATCTGCGTATAATTATACATCACGAGTTACGCGGTTTCTGATACGTGTCAATAGCAGTGGCGAAGCATGAATCACCAGCTATCGACATTTTCCCATTTGAGACTATGGTAAAGAATCGATCATTCCGATCGACTCTGTTAATCGATCCTTTGCCATACTGCCGTGCTAAGGAAGAACGCCGTATAAGCCTCCAGGCGTTGCCAAATTGCCTTCGATATAATACGAATCTCTAAGGAAACTGTTGGTTGTTTTCTTTCCAATTTTTAACAGAATTTCACCAGCAATTTGATTTGGAGGATTTGAAAATTTCAAGAGAAAATATTCATAACTTTCCTCAAAATTTAATGTTTTACAAGGGGAAATTTGGCAACTCCTGATGGCTCATACGGCGTTCTTACTCAGCACAGCAGCATGGGTTTAAATGGGAGATCAATCGATTCATCGCAAGCACGACGCGCCGCTGGTCAGTACTGCCGTAACATTTGAGGGTTGCCAAATTTCCCTTCATAAAACATGTATTTTTGACGACATTCATGCACATATCTCTTCGACATTTTCAAAAATTTTAGATTGAATTGCGTACAAAATTGTCCGAAAATTTTGGAAAATAATATTCGCAATTTTCCCTGTGAATTAGGTTTTTATCGAAGAAAATATGGCAACGTCTGAAGGCTCTTACGACGTTCTTGCTTGGCACGGCGGAATAGCAGCGGAGCGAGCGTGTAGTTATAGGTGCTAACAGCTGGAGTCATTATGAAGTCATCAATGGGTGGACACGGCCGGCCCACCGGGGGGCGCCCCCCGCGGCTCGGGTAGGGGGGAGGGGAAGGGGGCCCTCCTCTCGAGCACGCTCCACTCGTGACTCGGGCCCCGGCACCTAATATTTTTACGTTTACGGCCCATTAGGCGTGGGCGGTAGAGTAAACATACACCCCGCCCCCTCGGCTATTGTTGGGCCGGAGTCAGTGGCTAGCTTGTCAAATGTCAAGTGCTGCTCCGGCATTTCGAGGGTGGCGAGGAGTCACCCTCGACCGGGATTATCGGTCTGCCCCTCTCCCCCTCCCCCCCTNCCCCCCCGCCCTTGGCGAGGGCCTCGTCCCGAGGGCGAGAGGGTCGTCTGGATTACTGCGATGAGTAGGATGGACTTGACGTGTATTCATTTTAATAAGTGTCGCAGTAGATAGTCAAAGTGGTTCCCAGATGCTTCACAAAGTTTCTTAAAAAAAAGAAAGAAAAAAAAAAAACTCCATCCATTTCTGCCTTAGACCTGTCTCTTGAAACACCTAATGATTGTATCTGAGGAATATTTTCATTTCAATCTCCTATTAAAAAAAAATAAAAAAAAATAAATTAAAAAAGAATGAAAAAAATTCTTTTCTATCGCCGCTTCCGCTTCTAGAGCCGCTTTCCGACGCGAATGCGTTGGAGCTTCCTGCTTGTTTTTCTTTTTTTCAGGGTCTTGCAGTTTACAGGAAACCAATAAGGCCTAAAGCACAAATACATTTCCTTTTTTTTAATAAAAATCAATATGTGACGTATATCAAAAACCATATCTGTGTGGACAAGGACCTCCATTAATAAGAAATGAACAAAAAAATTATGAAACTACAAACATAAATGTGGATCAATGATTTTAACTTCCGCCGCCGCGCTGCGCAGACCGCACCGTGTTTGGCGCAAAGCGTGAAGTATTCATGCATCCTTGTAGGCGCTATTCGTTTCACGCTGACCGCAATGACCGCACTGTGTTTGTTGCAATGCGTGAAGTATTCGTGCAGTCTGGTTGGCGCTAATATGTGTTCTATGCCGATCTCCGCGCCGAGGGCTTCTACTTTTCATCTCAAGTCCTCGCTATCATTTCTCTCTAAGTCGCTCCGTTCCAGGCCAAATTGCGTGTTTGATCTCTCTCTTAACTCGACTTATTGAATATGCTGTCTCTTGTATCACTAAGAGACGACAAAATTAGAAATTAAGATACTCTCAGGGAATGAGAGATTTTGTCGCCTTTTCTCGCTTGTAATCTTGTTTTTATTAATCCGATTTTTTTAATACCTGCACTTTAAAAAATTGCAAATTTTTGCCGCCCCTTAGATTTGCCGCCATGGGCCGCGGTCCATGTGGCCGCCCTCTAAATCCGGCCCTGTATACGTATCCAGATTCAATATTTTTTTAACATCTGTTCACGCAGTATACTGTGGAATTTTGATAAAAAAATGTATGTATTGGGATACTTTAATTGGATTACATTTTGCAGTGGAACCACAATCTCTGGCTCTCTCATAAAAGCACCTTTCTGCATAGGGACACCGATGATTCCTACGTTGTTTCTAAAATGAGCCAGAAACACTAGTTCCTTATTGCAAAATGTGGTCCAATTCATCGCCCTGTTTACTGGTCCATTAATTTAACGAGGAAAATGATATGTTGTTGGTTCGACTGAGGAGCTGTTTATGCTCTCGCTGATGGCTCGCGCTGTAAAGTGCACCAACAGCTCATGAAACGAACCAGAAACATAAGGACCAAATCATACACTGCCTCGTCCTCCTCCGCAGAGTACTCAGGGGCGTCGCACATAGTTGATTCCCTTTTCGAAAAGCTCTTCGGTTCGGTTGGCTGGTGCCGCAATCCGGTGCCCGCCGCGTCGCGTGCGTCCCAACCTGTATCGGTCTTTCATTCATTTCCTAAACAACGTTGCCATTTTCTCCAATTGTCCTAAAAATGATTCAATTTATTGCGAGAAGAACGCCAGAGCAAGGAATATTCCTTAAACGCTTCTAGTTTGTCATGTACACGGAAAAAATGAAATTGCTACTTCAAAAATTAAATTGTTAAAAAATATGTCCGATATGCTTCAAATGTACATTTTACAATAGTAAGTACATAGCACGCTTTACCACGGGGGTGGTTAAATTAGGATTTTTTTATTGTAAAATCTACATTGAAACATGTCGGACACTTTTCGTACCTAACTACAACATTGTTAAATGAGCAATTTCATTTTTCCAGTGTACGAATCCCTCTACATTCTTGTAAATCAGATAAAAGTAAGCTGGGCCATCAACTTACCCTCCAGGTGTCGGAATAAAGTGTTGACCAGCGGGCCGATTATTGAAATTTAAACCAGCCCGATAAGACATCGAATTGCGATATATTACACGGTTAAGATAGGGCTATGTCTTGTCGTAAGCGGCGACATAGAGTTGATGACATTTCAATAATCATTCCGCTGTCATGACAATCATAGACATATGATTGTCATGACAGCGGAATGATTATTGAAATGTGCATTATTAATTGCATGTGCAATGATTATTGAATGTGCTTATGCATTCAATCGATGGGGGAATTCAATTTTTAGGCATGTTAGATCTCTGCACGGAAAAACTGGAGGAGGGTGGTTTTTGTTTTTAAAAAACCCATCAGCATTTCGGAAGATCGATACAAAATCTTCACACATACTGTAGAGGCCCTCTCAAAGAAGAGCATTCCGCAAAAAAAATTAATTTTTCGAGTTCTCAGACATGAGGATTTAGTATCAATGGATCCTTGTTGACTCTGACATTTGAGTCTGACGTATGGCAACGCAGGTGGGTTCAGGCCATACGTCCCGTCCGTAGCAATGACCCACAATCATTACGATACACTCTCCAGCGGAGAAGAACAAAACAAATAAGTTGCAGTTTCATTCTGGCGAATTTCCTCTTAACTGTTCCTCGCTCGCTGTGTCGCCGTCGGAGTTGCGGTTGACTTTCTTACAGAATCATGCACTAGTTGTCGTGAAAATCCTCCACGCTCCTTGGAGACCGGTCTCTTTGAGAATGTGCTCCGCACGGTCGACTGGCCGTGGACGCATGTCGGATAGGGTGCTCCGTCTAGTGATGAGGTACCCATACACAAAAAGAAAGAAAGTCGTAGAATAATCAGGCTTCAGAATAGGCTTTCGGAAACGAAGTGGTTTGAATAGCACTGGAAAAAAAAAAACACATTGGATTTAGTGTCCAGACTCTTAAAAACATCAAAGTACTCTTGATTCAATCAGAATCTAGCTTAAATCAAGAACCAAGCCTCTTAATTTAAGCAGATTTCGTTTTGATTCAAGGAAAAATTCGATTGAATCAAGAGTACTTTTTCTTGTCAATGTTTTCAAGAGTCTGGACTCTAGATCTGATGTGTTTTTTTTTTTCCAGTGAGGGCACCGAAAAAAAAAAAAATTGATGCTGATTTAGCATTATAGATGTACAAAAGTTTGCGACAACCCACAGAACGCTGAAGTAACCGCCACAGCAGTTCCATTTTATATCTTGACATTACTAAAGTAGCTGCTATAACGATAATTCAGCGGTTTGAGAGTTGTTGCACATGTTGCACGCTTATTTACATCCAGAATGTTAAATCAGCATCACTTTTTTTTCGGTGGGACGTAGCGATCATGGGACTGTCTCACATTCAGACAGGTGAAATCCTAAAAATCATGGAATTTGCGATTTAACGGGCTCTAAGCACAAAGCTAAAAATGCCCGCGTTATGGTTACTTTCGGTTACTTTCAGTTACTTTCTTTTGGCCAGATTAACTAACAGAACTTTGTTAATGGATCAAAATTTGGTTGAATCAACCAAAACCTAGGTTATTCTGAGACCTAGGTATGAAGAAAGTGATCTGATGAACGAATGTACTCTTGTTTTTTCGAAGACACTCAGAGACAGAGGCTGCGACATGCGCGTGGTTTCGCATTGGACTATCAACATGATCCAGGTTCGGTCCTGGCGTCACGCGTTTGACTTATAACGATGTTGCAAATTTCCGACTTAAAGATTTAGTCAGTGTAACCCAAAGAAAAATTAACCAAAACCATTACCTCACGTTCAGGTTACTTGCGTTCTACTACTCGTATCAACACCAACCGAACATAACTTTCTCGTACATATAACATTCAGACAGCTGAGAACCTGAAAATTCATGTAATTTACGATTTAACGGTATCACGGCTACAAGTAACGTACATAATGGACCCGGCAAAGGCGTGCTAAGGAAATTTTTCGTAGGTGAGCCATGTCTCAAAAACCAAAGGTTTCTGCCTACACAAATATCCAAATGTCATATGAACGCAAATCCCGATCCTGGACATTTAGTTTTAAAACTAACACAACATGTTTAGCATGTTGATACTTTCGAATGTGTTCAGAAACATAGGATTGATAGGGGAAAATGACTCTATTGCTGAGTTATTTGTTGTCGCCCCGTTTCAATTTTGTCACAACAGTAACTTCAACAGTTCCAGCATCATTTCTGAGTCGAGTATTCACATTAGTCCGCGGACATTAGGGTGTAGCAGAAATTGTTTTTTCCCTCGTATGACATAGCCAACCTCTGACAACGAAGTATTCTTCCGTTACTCACAAGTACTAAATAAAAGGATGCCGATGCGACGCGACGGGACATAGCTAGGTGACTCGACTGCGTATAAAACGCCTTCAGTTATGCGTGATACAATAATCATAACAAAAAGGCGATTCATCTTTCAAACGAAACTCACTGTGAGTGATGATATTTTGAAAGCGCAACGAAGCATGAATGAAATCCCAGTGTTTAGCGATTTGCGAAACTCTTTAACTGTAGATTTTAAATTCTCTATCGAAGAGATTTTCGAAATTATGGCTACTTAGAGTTGATATTTGCATATGCGAAATCGGTACTTAAACGTACTACAAAGCCATAGTTGAATTGCATTTCAATAATCACCCAAACGAGATTCTGCTTTTCCCTATGTCTAGATACGCAAAATTGATTTGATTCAAAAGAATCTTCGGCTGGATGTAATTTTAATAAAGTTATAATAGAAGCCATAAAAAACCAAGAGTAAAACAGAGTTATTGGGTGTGATACATTTGGAAAAACTGATTATACTCCCAACTTCAGCTTCAGCTTTATACTATATTCAATTTAGACTATTTTTAAGAGTGCGGTTTGGGAATAGGGGCAAAACTTCATTTAAAATGCGGCAATGAGTTCAATCGTATAAAAATAATTGGGTGTCCCTCTAAAAATTAAAATGCAAACACAATTCCGTTCATGAAATTAGCGAGTAAAAAGAATTGGATCTGCTGCAAAAGCACTTGAAAAACAAAGAATAAAAAACTTGAATTTTCTCCTGAATCACAGTTCAGTGCGCAATGATCAATGTCCCACGCAATTATCTGCTGCGAAAGCACTTGAGAAATGATGAGTAAAAAACTTGAATTTTTTTTAAAGTCATGGTTCAATGCTATTCTCTAAACAGAAGGAAAACAGAGAAGCTAAGTTTCGGTAATGAGAAATAACTCCTTATCGGAATATCCAAAGCACATGGATACCGCATAGGCAGATCCAAAGAGGAAGGCGTAGGGGGCTCCCTCCCCCCCTCCGTTTGCCCGAAAAAAAAGGACGTAGAAAAAGAAAAGAAAGGTAAAGGAAAGGAACGGAGGAAAAAAGAAGTAAGGACACTTATAATTGGTAACTATTCATGACGAAATTGACTCAACTGCAGAGTGAATGCTTCAAAATTTCGAAAAATTTTCGATGGAATCCCTTTTGGATTCTCCTTCCGCTCCCCCTGTTCGAAGTGTCTAGATACGCCTTTGGGATATCGATTACATAAAACGAAGGAACGAAGGAACGAAGGATGACGTTGAAATTGAACTTACCTGATGCCAAACTAGCGTTGTCGTCATCATCATCGTTGTCCGGATCGAGTCCAACACTTCCCGTCTTGAGTGAGGAGGTCGGTGAAAACGGAATTCCTGGAGAGTCGGGTCCGGCAGAGAGACCGTCATCGTCCTCGTCGCCCGAACTTACTCCATCTGAAAAGCGAAAACAAATTTAAAGATAATGAGACTGTTTTACTCATTGAAAAATATGTACAACTTGATAGTTCTCAATGTCATTCGGACTGACTTCAACGAAAATGCCCCACATTGCATTTTGGAACGAATGAATTGGTGGCACAGTAACCTTGATTACTCGATTATCCGACTTCCGCATTATCCGACACTGCCTCGACGCACAATGGAACGACTCAACGGGAGAAGTTGGACAAAATTTTGAAACTTTAAAAGCTCATAACTCCATTATTACAAAACGTAGAGGTCTGAAAAGCGGTATACCGTTGGTTTTTTCGTAAAATTTACTTGCGGAAGCACCTCTCAAACTTTAAATCTCACGAAATAAACATCTAAATTTCCAGTTTCATTAAAAATAGTCATTTCCGACCTCTTGCATAGACTCGATCAACAGTGCGACGGTGCATTTTACACTCACTAATATACGCAATAGGGGAAAATGGCCTTGTTCCGCATAAGATTTGTCATATATGATTACAAAGTCTGCCAAATTTGAAAATCGCATCGCAAGATAACACAATTCTTTATTTAATAACATAAAGTAAGCCGTTTTACACTTAATTTGCGTCCTTATTTGTTACTTATATTCACATAATAGGTGTTTTTAGTGTTCGAAAATCGAGTCGGAACCATAGAGTACATAGAGTCGTAATGTAAATGGGAGAGCTGGCGCCATGTTCTGCTCGANCATGAGAATCAACAGTCAAATCGCAAATTCCTCACGCAACATCTATATTATAAGCGTCCTTACTTCTTCTTTCCTCCGTTCCTTTCCTCTACCTTTCTTTTCTTTTTCTACGTCCTTTTTTTTCGGGTAAAGGGGGGGTATGCCCCCTACGCCTTCCTCTTTGGATCTGCCTTCCGCTCCCCCCGTTTGAAGTGTCTGGATCCGCCTATGGGACATCTATTACATAAAACGAGGGAATAAAGGATGACGTTGAAATAGAACTTACCTGATGCCAAACTAGCGTTGTCGTCATCATCATCGTTGTCCGGATCGAGTCCAACACTTCCCGTCTTGAGTGAAGAGGTCGGTGAAAACGGAATTCCCGGAGAGTCGGGTCCGGCAGAGAGACCGTCATCGTCCTCGTCACCCGAACTCACTCCATCTGAAAAGCGAAAAAAAAATCAATGATACTGAAACTATTTTATTCATTTAAAAAATATGTACAACTTAATAATTCTCAATGTCATTTGGACTGACTTCAACAAAAATGCCCCGCTTCGCATTTTGGAACGAATGAATTAGTGGCACAGTAACCTTGATTACTCGATTATCCGACTTCCGCATTATCCGACACTGCCTCGACGCACAATGGAACGACTCAACGGGAGAAGTTGGACAAAATTTTGAAACTTTAAAAGCTCATAACTCCATTATTACAAAACGTGGAGGGCTTACGAAGCGGTGCCGTTGGTTTTTTCGTAAAATTAACTTGCGGAAGCACCCTTCAAACTTTAAATCTTACGGAATAAACGTCTAAATTTCCAGTTTTATTAATAAAAAGTCATTTCCGACCTCTTGCGTAGACTCGATCCACCGTGCGACGGTGCATTTTACACTCACTAATATATGCAATAGGGGAAAATGGCCTTGTTGCGCATAAGATTTGTCATTTATGATTACAAAGTCTGCCAAATTTGAAAATCGCATCGCAAGATAACACTATTCTTTATTATAACATAAAATAAGCCATTTTACACTTAATTTGCGTTCTTATTTGTTACTTACATTCACATAATAGGTGTTTTTAATGTTCGAAAATTGAGTCGGAACGTACATCGGAGCATCCGACAATTTCGGTATGCGACAACCCGGCCGCCTGTTACCATCGGATAATGAAGCACTTGCATGCGTGAAGGATTTGCGATTTATTAAGTACTGATTCGTAGGCAATATTTAGCGAGAAACACGATGGTGCCACTGTGCCACTGGTTTTCTCTGAAACGAGCTCCAAAGCTCAAAGAAGCTCTCAAAGTTGCGAGGCCGTTATGGAGGGGATGTCCCACGCTACCATGAGAGTCCACCTCCACATCAAGATAAACTCTATGCAAAGATAGGGAGCAAATACATGAACAGGGTTGCCGTGTTTTCAGTTTAGGAGTCCCTAAACAAAGTGGCAACCCAGTTAATGTATTTGATCTCTATCGTTGCATGGAGAGTTTGTCTCGATGGAATAATGGAACAAAACAAAGTCAGCACACCGTGCCACCTTGAAAAGGAAAGAGCACTGATTACACTCTGAGACATATTTCTCCTTCATTTGAGCGTTAGGCAAAATGTTAGACAACGATCTGGAGCATCGCGGGGGTATAAGGAAAGAGGGGAGCTAACTGATTAATCCTCCTCCTCCTCATTGCCTCGAGTGACTTTAACGAATAAGTACTTTTTTTTAGGATGAGCCCTTTAGTCCATTAAATTCAATGTTTTCGAGGGCTCATGCAGAATTGTAGTTACGATCTTAAGTCAGGGGTTCGAAGTCCTGAGGGACTTTAGGTTAACGACTCGCCCGCCACTCTGGAATCCAGGAGCCGTCTTAATCCGTCTAAGACTCCATCCCTCCATACGCTCTCGTCAATTTGAATCCATTCTTGGGCCCTGTTATACTATTTTCGAGTCTGTTTTCCGGAACTAGTCGTCTGATAAAATTGGTCCTCTAGGATTTGGGCTTCGTTCGACCGCGCGCATGCTTTTTAAACAAATGGTCGTTCAATTCAGATGTATCTTCGGATATTGACATATTCTTCGCAAAATCGATCTTCGAAAATGAAATGCTACCTAGCTTAAATTTACTTACTCCAAAACAATGATACGGGTAAAAATCC